TTTGATTAGATCTCATTATGATCTTCTTCATAGGAAAAGAAGCTTCAAAATAATAAATCAATATACTCATAAAAAGCTCGCTCTGTTTGTTGACATTACTTTCAGAGTAAACTGCACTCCAGTTTTCATTTTCCAAATAATGAAAGAATTTTTGCCAGTTCAAGTCTCGAAAATCTCTTTTGAGGGAGAAAATATCCTTAGCTTTTTCTATTGGAATTTCCATATCTAAATATACTGCATTATGATCAGAAAATGGGGCTGGGAGGGTTAAACAACCAGTCACGCAGAGGATATTTGTATATATATATGATCAATAAGTGAACCCGAGTTAGAATCCTGTCTCGTATTTTGTCCATTATTTACTAGACTAAGAGAAAATGAATCACTGATTGCTTTCAAACTTACAGCATGCGGATTTTCGTTGTTCAGATTAATATTGAGGTCCCCAGCGATTATTAAATTACCTTGAAATCTACTTTGCCCTAGGAGAGTTTCAAATTGTTCTAAAAATTTCGGAATTTTAGAATTTGATTGCTGATTGCTTGGGCGACAAATACCTAGGAGATTTATCTTTTTACCATTAAATATTAATGATGCACCACAGATCTCAAACTTAGATTGTATTGATTTAATTTTCAGGGTTTTAGTCTCGCATTTAAGTAAGTTCTTTTTAAGAATTAATACTCCTCCTGGAGAGCGGAGTTAGAGTGAGCGTGATGGATGGTGGGAATAATGTCCGCCGAGCCCCCCGAATGCGTGGCGGCGTGCGCGATGCGAGATCGCGAGCGGATCAAGTTTGCCTCCAGAAAAATAAAGTGAACAATAATGGTAGTAGTTTTATTATGGGCATATGGCCCTGATAACATTGACCCCAGGTCAACTCCCCTATATGATTAGTCCATAAGAGTGCAGTGGGCATATGGTTGCCTATTCAATTCAATTCTACTACATTGGCCATAAGGTTAACATGGACGGGGTTGCTCTACCCTGGCGTATGAAATTAAGAAATTAATTAACTAGGATGGCACCAGTTGCTGGTCAAACCCATCATGCCCTTTCAACTGCCCGCCTGGCACCTGACCGCCGACGTTTACATCAACAAGCTCAAAGGGCTGCAAAGAAGGGCGCTCCACTTCTTCCACGGCTGCCTAGAAAACGTTGTCCCTCCAGAGATTGAAATTTATGGTACGGGTATTGAAGCAGTAAATAATTGTAAACTACTAGGAGTGGCAATAAATGATACAATGAATTGGCACCTACAATGTGAAAAAGTGGCGAATAAATTGAGAAGTGTGACATCTTTTTTGACTATATTGCGCAATACAGTGTCAGAAAGTTCACTTAAAACTGTATATTATGCTTTGCCCAAAGTCAAATATTGTATTCTATTGTGATTTGGGGAGCATCACCACACATGCAAAAAGTGTTCGTCGCTCAGAAGCGTGTTGTCAGCGCAATGACTGAGCTGAAGTATTGGAGAGGAAATTGTGCGCTTGATACATGTAGGCCACTGTTTGCTAAATATGGTAAATTGACTGTTTACTCTCTTTATATATTAGAATGTATGAAATTCCTTATAATTCATCCTGAAAAATTTAGAAAAAAAAATCAGAAATTCCAAATTGTATGAGTCCGAAAACAAAAAGTGCAAAAAGCAAGCACTGTGTAAATGACCTATATGTCGAGATTGAAAATCACTTGGATATATTAAACCAAAATCCTGTAGTTATGATAGCAAGAATATTCAACTCTCTACCTGTTAGTGTAAAAATGACTGTGGAAAGTAACGAGTTTATTAGCAAAATAAGAGAAATTGTATATAAGTATCAGTATTATGACATGAACGAGTTTTTCAGCTGTAAATTTGATTTGTAAATTGTTATAAATATGTGAATGACGTATTTTAAAAGTTGTCAATTCGTTCACGACTTAATGATAAAAATAATTCTGAATCTGAATCTGAATTGCAGCACCATCGCCATCTAAATCCTCGTCGATAAATTACAGACAAAGATTTAAGAAAGGTAGTAATACAGATGCAGCTAATTATAGACCAATCGCCCTTACGTCAAGTATCTCAAAAGTTTTGGAAAAAGCGTTTTTAATTCAACTGGAGAAATATTATGAAGGGAATAACTTTTTGCCTGACCAGCAGCATGGCATCAGGAAAAAGCGTTCTACGGTTACTGCGCTTTATGATATGGTGACAAATGTGTACGACTCATTTGACAAAAGAGAAAAAATTAATGTTATTTTGTATGATTTTACAAACGCGTTTGGATCATTCGTACCCGATAGATTGTTTAACAAACTAAAAATGTTTGGTGTCAATGGTAAAGCGCTAGACTGGATCAAGTCGTTTTTACTAGAGCGAAAGCAGCTAGTTCAACTGAGAGTTCTGAGTGATAAGTGTGTAGAAGAAATAATTAAATCTAAGTTGCGTGAGAGTAACAGAGGTGTGCCGCAAGGTACATACATCTCTTGGTCCCTTAACTTACAGCGCATATTCGATTGACCTGCCCTTAATTGTTATTATTGCAACATTAGTTATTTTTGCCGATGACTCTACAATGATAGTGAAAGGTAAAACTGCCTCTGAGGTGAATGAAAAGACAATACAAGCAAACTCTGACATGGTGAAATATGCGAGTGATAATCACCTGAAATTGAATCCGAATAAGACTATGGTAATGACAATGCACACCGCTCAAACGAGGAAAATAATCCAGCCTGAAATATTGATTGAAAATAAGGAATTGTCTGTGGTGAACAGTAGTCGCCTTCTAGGAGTAACGATAACAGATACAATGAGTTGGAATAAACAGTGCAGCGAAGTGGTGGCTAAGTTGCGTAGTGTTACGTATTTATTTATCATGTTACGAGAAAAAGTTTTAGAATCGACTTTGGTCCAAGCCTATCATGCATATGCGGCTAGCCGAATACTGTACTCGATTGTAATCTGGGGTGGCTCTACATATGAAAGATGTTTTTCTTGCGCAGAAAAGAGTAATAAGAGCGATGGCTGGCGTTCAATATTGGAGGAGTAATGCGGCACTTAACTCATGTAGACCACTATTTGTGAAATTTGGAGTGCTTACAGTCTATTCATTATATATTTTGGAGTGCGATAAGTTTGTGCGTAAATTTCCCGAAAAGTTTAAAATGAATCGTGATGTTCCAGGTGTTGCAGTGCGAACTACGCGTGCTACTGCATATGTTGAAACAGATTTATTTATAAGGCCAAGCTCACTAAATTGTGTGAATGAAAGTCCTGAGATAATGATAGCACGAGTATATAACAAATTACCCAATGTATTGAAAGAAATAGCTGACTATGGCAACTTTGTCAAAAGTGTCAAATATGTAATGCTGAAGTGTCAATTCTATGGTATGAATGAATATTGGAGATGTAAATTTGAATGCTTAAACTTGGAAGAGTGAGACTCAGCTGCAGGGTTTTCGGGGGTGGCAGTATTTGAGAAGGGTTATTCAAAGGCTTGCCCAACCCCCCCGAATAACTAATGGCGTGCGAGCTCCCTCAATCATTCAATTACTTGATGTTGTATTAGTTGATTGATTAAACCTAATTATTATTATCATAATGACCTGTTGTAAAGGCAAATTGGAGATGTACTATATATGTCTAATGCAATAAATTTTAATCTAATCTAATCTAAGACGAAATTAAAAAAACACTAATCCCAAGTCCCTACACAAAGTAGCTTAAAAAACTAATATTTTAAATTTAAATGTCCGAGGTTTGAAAACACCAGATAAATTTTGAGATGAAATTCAGGGAATTCAGGGGTTCACTATCGCAACTATTTTCATGCGGAGCAGCTGGCTTATTTTCAACAAACATTTTATTGAGGTAGTTAGCTATATTCAATTGAATGTACTCTTTTTTATTAGCAGTATTTATTTCCATAATTGGAGCTAGACACTTGTTTATTCCTATATATTCATTAATAATTTTCAATGCGGCGCTAGATTTATTATTAGATCCATTAATTTTTTTATCATTATATTGCCGTACTTCGTTGTTAATACATTCTCCGACCTGTTTCTTCATCATTTTAATTTTATTTTTTAATTACTCTGTGGATTGCTAGGCCTATACAAGAGTATTATTTTCAAAACTTCTCCTGCCATTCTAATCTCAACACCAGCAGCCTCAAATTTTAGTTCTATATTGGCAAAGGTTATCTTTTTAACAGACTCATATTGTAATTCACTAGCAACAAATAAGACAACTCCGCCACGCTCTTGGGTTGCTCGCGCAAAGGAAGCTAACTGTAAATACCCACTAATTCTCAGTGTTCCAATCTCATTTGAATTTAACCAATGTTCTGTTATTGCAATAAATTGAGGCTAACTTTGTATAAGTTAGCTTATATCATAGTATAATAAATTTTAATTGAAATGTTTTCAACAATTTGTTTGTAAACAATGTGATGTAACAATTTGGAGAAATAAACTACAACAATAATAAAAAAATTGAATTGAAGACAGCAGATCAAACCCCAAAAACATACTTAAATTATAGAATGGCATCGTGAGCCAAAAATTCAGGCAAATTAGCGGTCAATCATTCGTGAACAGTCCCACTAACATCCAAATATTTGTCTTTAATGCAGGCGTTTTTGAGTGGACAATTTTGACCACCGAATAACACCATTCTTAGATTTAAAATTTGTGATATAACATTTAGATAGACGAGAATTGACAACAGCGTTGAAGTAGATGCCAAAAATGTGTGTGTGTTCTAAAAATTCAATTCAATTCATTCAAAAAGAATTTAACAGTTAAATTAGATGGTATCCATGTTTTATCCCCTAAAAATGTGCTAAAATGTAAGGCAATGCCTTTTTTTGGGTCAGCTCACATGTGAATCCACAATGTTTGAAAATTAGCATCTAATATTCTGCGTCCAAATAATGTCACTCAAAAACGCTGCTGTGATTAAAGCAATCTTTTTTATTTAAGAAAATAAAGAATACCTGATTGTGAGCGTCTGGCATTGTGTAGAAAGGTCGAACAGCTAGAGGGAACTTGTCCAAAATATAGAAGTCAGTGTTGTACTGAAAAAAATAATCAAAAGCAAAATTAATATCAGCAATGACCACGGACATATACACAAAAACACATTGAATGATAAGAGAATAGAAAATACGCAAAATAGAGCATAGAGCCCTTCGGTTTGTGTACGAGTGGCACATTTCCGAGGCGGCGAAGACCGAGCTGCTCACAGTCCAGCAGCAGCTTAAGTACAATGACTCGACTTCTTCTTTTTTGTACTATGTTGCAAATGGGGCGCATCGCAATGCGTAATTATTTCAAATATGTAACCCCGTTGGAAGTGAAATTAGCGCTGAAAAGTATAAAGTCACCCTCTGAAGGTACCGACAATAATTCTAACAAAATGCTGCTCATGATTATTGATGTAATTTTGCCATCTCCACGTTTATTATTAACTCTGCGCTGCAAACGTCATATTTCCCAGCTATCTGGAAAAAAGCTATTTTGATGCCTCTGCCAAAAGTTCGCAGCCCCTCAAGTAGTTCTGATTTCCGGCCAATTAGCTTGTTGTGTGTTGTTTCAAAAGTGTTGGAAAAAATAGTTTTTGATCAAATGATGGAATTTTTATTACAAAATGATGTCCTTGATAGGCTCCAATCAGGATTTCGGAAATTGCGCAGCACAACAACGGCTCTTTTAAAAATCTGAGGATTTGAGAATTTCAATGTTTAAAAATGAAGTAACGTTAATGGTTTTTCTTGATTTCTCAAAAGCATTTGATCAGGTTGACCATGGTCTTTTGTTGAGCAAACTAAATCAATTGAATTTCTCTGCACCCGCTCTGCGCTTCTTTGAAAGTTATTTATCAGGTCGTCAGCATGCAATTAAGAACAGTGATGGCAATTTTTCTAAGTGGATGAATATTGAATGCGGCGTGCCCCAAGGTTCAGTTCTTGGGCCGCTCCTTTTCTCTTTGTACACGCTCGATTTATCGCCAGTGTTAAAGGATAGGTGCAGGTATCATATGTTTATGCGGACGACACTCAGCTTTATCTTAGCTGCCTGTCGAATAATGTAAACGAGTGTGTTAAAATCATGAACGACGTATTAAGAGATGTTGTGTATTGGTTAGAAGCGAATGTACTAAAGCTCAACCCGAGTAAATCACAAGCCATGTTAGTATGCTCAGTACGAAATAATGCTAAAATTTCCGCGATGCTAAGTGAAAAATTATATTTAAATGATGTTGAGTTTAACTTTGTGCAAGAAGCGAAAATCATGTTTGATAAGAACTTGTCTTGGAATGCGCAAGTGTCCAGAATATCGCAAAAAGTTTACGGCATGTTAAAAAGTATTGAAATGTAACTCCAGAAAAAGTCCGAGTGAGACTTGTTAAAAGCTTGATTCTGCCGCACTTAGATTATTGTGACATAGTTTACTGTAATTTGACAGCCACGCAAATTAACAAATTGCAAGTTCTGCAGAATCATTTAATCAGGTACATTTTTGATGTAAAGATCAGTCAAAATTTATCACCCTTGTATAAAAAATGTGAAATTCTGAAAATCGCGGATAGGCATAAATTGAAAATTTTAGTTCAGTCACACAAAATTTTGTATAAAAATAGTCCAGAGTACTTGAACGCTTATGTTACGACAATGTATGATGTAAACTTGCTCGGGCGCACGAGAGCGCACCGAATGAAACTGCTCGCACCGTTTGTTAATGTGGAGGTGCCGGAATACTCTTTCCAAGTTCGATGCTATAGGCTTTGGAATGAGTTATCATCAAATCTGTTTTAATGATAATGTTAATTTTTTTAAATCAGTACTGAAAAAGCAATATTTTGAGCAATACTAATGTTTTCTCTCTCTCTTGTTTTAAAATTTTTGTTTTTGTCATTTATTTGGATGAGTTCATGTATGGGGCATAGTTGCCCTAAATTCGAGCCCAATAAATATTTTCTTGAACCTAATTACATCGTGGCTGCGTCTCATAAGTCAATAAAGAGTAATAATAATAATATAGCGGGCATTCCATACTGGAGGTCTTAAGAAGCGCTGGATACATGCAAACCCCTTCTTGTAAATTTAACATTATGATTGTGTCCTCTTTGTATATTTGAGTGAATAAAATTCCTCGTGCAAAACCGATATCTTTTTCAGAAATATCGTGATACTGTTGATACAAGAAAAGTTACGAGATATAATCAGAATAATATTTGTTGTAATGCCCTTGTTGTAAGAGAAATTAAGCTGAAAAAAATTAGAAACCCCAAAGTTATGATACCTAGAATATTTAATGTCTTGCCGAAAACTGAAAATCCCCGAAAATGACGAGGTTCTTGTGAAAGAAGTAAAAACTTTTGTATTAGAGCATCTGGACTTTAATTGACTCAAATTTGTTATGTTGGTGACTAATGTATATATTGTACCGTTGGTAACACTGTAATAAAGCTTAGAATTATCTTGGAACCCGAACCGACCGGACGTGTCATTCCGTTCTCCGCACTCTACGAGCGGCCAGAGGCCGCCAGGGCCGGCAAGTGGCCGCCCTTGTAACACCTCAAAAACAGGCCACCTCCAGACGTAACAAATGGCGACGAGGAAAAACTAACTTCGGTGAAGGAGGAAGAGGTGAGTGGAGCGAGAAAAGTGCGAGAACGGCGACCACGTGCAGCGTGTGGTGATTCCCCAAAATTGGCTTGGGTTGGTGTCCGGAGGCGGACCTGTCCGGCACCAAAAGAGACCTCGAAGGAGCCAACGAAGAGTTTCCGGCGGGAGGAAAGTCGGGCAAGAAGAAATTCTCCGCGTGAGGCTGCGAAAAGCCGGGCGTTACATCAGCCAAAAACGAGGTGAGCGTCAGCAGACATTTTCAAGTCGAGGCGGCCAGCCGGCCAAGTGTGAAAGTCGGTTCTACCAGAGATACGATCAAGAGACCCGCGGCCCAGAGTGTTTGCGAGAGAATTCGCAGCGGCAAGAGAAGGGTGAGCAGAGTCACCTGCCGCAGAGTACGAAGCGTGACAGCCGTTCCTCGGACAAGGGAAGAGGACGGTGTGTGTCGGGGCGTCAGAGAAGGGCGTCGCCGAAAAGGGTCAGAGTGCGACCCAGTGAAGAGCTCTCCCAGGGTGGGAAGCTCACCGTGTTAGTCACCTTCAAGAAAAGGGCCAGAAGGAAAAGAGGAAGGAGGAGGACTTGGGCTCGTCATCGTGAGTTCGAGTGGAGAGAGACCACGAGCCAAGTCTTGTCTTCAAGTGCAGAGTCTGCTGAGCGCAAGAAAGAGGAAAGTGAAGGGCAAGTTGAGTCCAGGGAAAACCAGCGGCCACCAGACAGAGGACGTGTGGCGCTGTCGTTCGTACGAGAGAGACGCCAGGAGGAGGCAGCCGCCTTCTCTGGCCAACGTGTGAGTGACTCGGAGGGTGCAACCGCATCCTCGAGCCTTCGACCTGAGTTGAGGGGATCTCCTCAGGGGTCGTTTAAGAAGTGCCAGGCGAACAAGAGCCTGAGGTGAAAATTCCTGAGACTAGGAGGAGAGAAAAAGAAGAAAATCAGCAACTGGAATTTCAGGCCGTATCCAGATTGCGTGAACATTTTTCGGTGAAATTAAGTTCAGTGAATATTTGAGATTGAGAAGGATTTTAAGAGTTCAGAGTTGAGAAAGTTTAGAGCAAATTTGAAAATTCAAAAGTTGAAAGTAAATTCAAAATTTCAAGTTAATTTCAAAAGTGCAAATTTTGTAGTTCCAATTCAAGAGTGATTTTAAAGTAGTTCTCAAATTGCATCTTTGAAACCAAATTCTTGTGCATTAATTTCCACAAAATTGAATTATTGATTGATTGATTGATTGATAGCATGGCATCTTCTTAATTGTCTTAAAATAAAATAATTGAGTTTTTATCTTAGGCGGGAGATGTTATGTTGGTGACTAATGTATATATTGTACCGTTGGTAACACTGTAATAAAGCTTAGAATTATCTTGGAACCCGAACCGACCGGACGTGTCATTCCGTTCTCCGCACTCTACGAGCGGCCAGAGGCCGCCAGGGCCGGCAAGTGGCCGCCCTTGTAACACCTCAAAAACAGGCCACCTCCAGACGTAACAAAATTTTATAGTTTAAATAATGCAATGTGATGTGACTTATTTTGAAAAGTGAATATATCATGTCAATATTACAATGATTAATGAAATAAATAATCTTGAATCTTGAATAAAGAACAATTTTTAAATATTAAAACTTGGGTGGAAAATGTAGCCGATTAAATTTTCTTTTTTATGTTAACCAGATTTAATGGTGCCAGAATTTTTTTTTTCGCACAGGAACCCCAAATCCAAAATATTAATTTTTTTCTCACGTAACAATTTTTTTAAATTTTTTGAGATAGCCAATTGATTGTAAATTTAGTTTTGACCATGAAGCTCAAATTTTATCAAAACAAATAACAAATTGCCTGTTTCCATTCGCTTGGAGCTTCAGTACAAGACTTATGAAAACAGTTTGAGACGATGTGTTCATTCACATAAAATTTATAGCAAATATGAGTTTTTTTCAACAAATTGATGAATTGTAATATTATTTCTGTTGTTTTTTATTCTCTAACTTTTTACTTGCTTTGTAATATGTTGCAAATGGGACGCATCACAATGTGTAATTACATCGTGGTGACGTCTTATAAGTCAACAAATAGCAATAATGGAAATGAAGCGATCGGGCTTTTCCTCGTTGGCAGTGGTCGGACGCGCCGCGCGCTAATCACCCAATAAAGATCACCTCCCCCAATCAATCTGTCTTTAGCTAGCTCATTCTTGTATTAGTCAGCGAGCAGCGCGTTTGCTCATGAAATTGGTACCTGAATTTGTTAGTTTTTAAGAATTTAATTTTTTATTTAAAATGTGGTGTTTTTTCAATTTGCTGATTTTTTGTATTTTTTCTTGCTCATGAAATAGGGTCGCAGACCGTGACCGAAACTGGTAGAGCCATTTTTTTTTAATAAAAACAATTTTTCTGCAACGAGGAAAAGCCCGATCGCTTCATTTCCATGATCATCTCCTCGAGTGTCAACTTCTTCAAACAAATTCGACTTCGGTACGGGCCCGATACCAAGCAGCAAGTACGCCACTATGAACAAACCTGCCAAAAAACTGTTCGCATCCGCGCTCAGTTCAACTTCCTATCCGAGTGCCGCAAAGAGTTCATCTGCCCAAAGGCCCTGCGCGTCAAACCGCCCGCCCTTCTGCAGGACGACCCGCGCGCCAAGGGCATCCTTCAGAGAGCCCGAGAGAGCCAACCACTCGTTTGTCCGCTTGGCCACCGACAAAGCCCGAGGTGAACTTCACTTTTCCACCCAGGAGGAAAACGCTCAGTGGACCGACCTCCAGTTCACCCTCGAGGACAAGGACGCCAAGACTCTTGACCAAATCATCGCGCAGAAGTGCAAAAATGTGAATATGACGGAGTCGGCACACAAGAACAACAAGTTGGAGAAAATGGTGGCCGCCAAAAACCAACACCGTCCGAAACCGGACACCACCAACGTCATCAACCTGTCCAGCGCGCCCCTCTCGGAAGCGCAACGCTCAGCCCTCTCGCGTGGACTTAACTTCAGTGTGGCGCCGCGCCGACTTCGCAGAATGGATTTCATCACCCCGATCGAAGCCGCATCCAAAGTGGTGGCCAAGTTTGCCCTTGAAAAAGCCGCCGAGTGGAAACAAAAAATTGCCACCGAGCTAAAAAAAGAACACAAATTTCGGCCTAACATCACCAAAGCCGAAGCCCAGGGACTCCGTGACCTCAAGAACAACAAAGAGGTCAAGGTCGTCAAGGCCGACAAGGGCGGCGCCGTCGTCCTACTCGACACCGCCGACTACGACTCGAAGATGGAGCAGCTACTCGCAGGTGGCGAGTACGAGGAGTTGGCCGGCGATCCAACAAGAGAGTACGAAAAGAAGCTGCATGCCATCCTCCAAGGCACCTCTCTGCACCCAAAAGAGAAAGCAGCCATCACACCTGACCCGAGCCACCCCGGCGCCTCGCAGAACGCCTACAAGACGCCGCACATCTACGGCCTTCCGAAGGTACACAAGGAGGGTGCACCGCTGAGGCCCATCGTGAGCACCGTGGGGTCCGCTTTCCAGCCGCTCGCCCGCTACCAGGCCGACATTTTGAAACCTTTAACCGATAAGTCAACAATTAGCATTAAGAACGCAGATCAAATTCTCCCAACAATCAAAAATTTCAAACTTTCAAAATTTGACCAATTTTGTAGCTTCGATGTAAAAAGCCTTTTCACTTCAATCCCAACAAATGATCTTTTAATTATTTTGAGAAAAAAACTTGAAAATGACCAAACTCTAATTGATAGAACCTCCCTCCCAATTAGCTCACTTTTGGAATTAATTGAATTTAGTATCAACTCCACCTTCTTCCAATTTAAAGATAAAATCAGGTTTGGCCATGGGTTCATCTTTGTCCCCAGTACTGTCCGAAATTTTCATGCAAAACTTTGACGAAATTTGTCTCAAAATATTCAAACAATCCCCCCGTTTGTTTTTCCGATACGTAGATGATTATTTCATAATTTATAGAAAAAGAATTTTCCCAATCGAAAATTTTTTAGATTCTTGCAACTCAATCCACCCCTCAATTCAATTAACTTGTGAGTTTGAAAAGGATGACCAAATCCCATTTCTTGACCTACTTTTAAAAAAAGATGGTGAAAAAATTGCAATTTCAGTTTACCGCAAGCCCACCTCCACCAACTCAACCCTCCACTTTGAATCAAATCACTCTTTCTCAACCAAGTTCTCTGTTGCTCTCTCAATGTTTAAAAGAGCATACAGTTATTGCTCAGGGAAAATTTCTTTGAAAGAAGAAATTTCCAACATTTACAAAATTCTTCGTCAAAATTGTTACCCCGTAAATTTTATCAACAAAGCACACAATAAAGCAAAAAATCCTCCAACACCCAAAGCCCCCGAACAATTTTCAACCACAATGGTCATTCCTTATTTTAAAGGAAAATCAGAGAAAATCAGGGCCATCAGCCAAGAAGTTGCCAGAGTGCGAGTTGCTTTCTCAAACTCTTCAAATCTGCGAAAATGTTTAATGCATGTAAAGCCCAAATGTGAACCTGCTCTGCGTAATTGTGTATACCGCGTGCCATGCGCCGATTGCTCTTCAGTTTACATTGGGGAGACAAAAAGACACGTTTATTTCCGTTTTGACGAGCATAAAAGGGCAATTTCAAAAACTTTTGATCCGGCCACAATTGGGACGGACAGCAATGGTTTTCAAATAGCTCAACACGCGACTGAATTTGGCCATTCTTTTGCCTGGTCAGATGCAACGGTTATCAAATTCGAACAAAATCAATCAAAAAGAAAAGTGCTGGAAGCAATGGCAATGGCATGCGGTAATAATGTAATAAGCCAACCGAGCCACCAATTCGATCAAAGGTGGATGTCTTTTTTGAGAGAGGAAGCAAACAGCTTTTTCTCGAAAACGCATAATGTGCCCGACGTCATTCGGCGCCCCCGTGGTCGGCCGCGCCGCGCGCTAATCACCCAATAAAGATCACCTCCCCCAATCAATCTGTCTTTAGCTAGCTCATTCTTCTATTAGTCAGCGAGCAGCGCGTTTGCTCATGAAATAGGTTGGTACCTGAATTTGTTAGTTTTTAAGAATTTAATTTTTTTATTTAAAATGTGGTGTTTTTTCAATTTGCTGATTTTTTGTATTTTTTCTTGCTCATGAAATAGGGTCGCAGACCGTGACCGAAACTGGTAGAGCCATTTGTTTTTGAATAAAAACAATTTTTCTGCAACGAGGAAAAGCCCGATCGCTTCATTTCCATGATCGAGTGTCAACTTCTTCAAACAAATAGCAATAATAATATTAATAAATGTTCAGCCATTACAAAATTACCAAATAATATTTAAACCCACCAAACTGCCAAGGATGATGATTTGTGCTTTCTAGATAACAAGTTGTAAGTTGCAAACGGCTGAAAGTATTTTAATAACATTTGAGTTAATCAAAAGTAAAAATTAAATTTCTAATTGATTGGTTATCTCAATAGGATTTGAAATTTTTTTCTACATACAAATGAGCATTTCCAGCGCATTTAACAGCAAAATGAGTTACTGTATTGCTCTAAAATTATTTTACACTAATACTTATAATGATTTAAAAGCTTTTGAATTTACTCACAAATATGTTTGTAAATAATATCAAAAACAAAGTTCATCTTTCATGCCACCTAGTAAGGAGTAATCAAGTTTTTTATATTTCCTGTAAAATCCAGCTGTATGCAGCTGGGAAATTTTTTACGTGCCGAAAATGCAAATGGGATAATTGCGAGCACGAGCAGCGATATGTAAAATAAAAATTAAAAGTAAAAAAATGCTTGAAATTTTTACCTTCTTTTTAACAAGGCGCCCCAAGAGCTTTTCGTCTGGGGTCGAAAGATCATCTTCTTCGTCAAGATGTACACCAGCCTCAGCTAACAGATCCAAGCCTTGACGAAAGGTGAGCTTCAGAGGTGGGCTCAGGAAGACGAACGGATCAACAGGATATTGCTGTCCAACAGCAGCAATTTCAGCAGCAAAATGCTCCTGTAAGCCTTCAAAGAGCTGCGTGAATGTGTTGCCAATCACATCGAGAACCTCATGATAGTGCCATTTGAAGGCCATTTCCAAATCGAGGCCCACAAACTCTGTCAGGTGACGATGAGTGTTACTATCTTCAGCCCTGAAAACTAAACTTTGCATTGTAATAAATTACACCACTACTTTAGAAATTTTTATTATTAATATTATTATTATTTTTTGAGGGGCTTCTTCTACCATTTAGTGTGCCGATGAATGAAAAAATGATTGTGGAAAATTTTTTTAAAAGATCATTCGTTCCAGATTCAGATTCATAAATTATTCATGGTGATTTGAATATAAAGTCGGCTTTTCCTGAATGGGTTTTGTGAGTTGTTTATTGTTTAAGAAAAAACAATATCCAAAACCCATCGAGGAAAAGCTGACTTTAAATTCAAATCACCCTCGATCGTGAAATTCTACCACAATATCATAAATTATTGTTCATTTTTCACAAATTCGTTTATTTGAGTCGCCGTTATTTATCAGAAATTTATTTGTTAGAAAACAGTCCTCGGCAATGATCAGCAATTTTTTTTTATCAGAAATTCATTGCTCAGAAATCGTGCTTTTCATTTGTCAGAAAGTTATTTATTTTTATTCTCATTATTTCACAGGATGGGTAAATTTTAAAGCCCTTAGGTGTAGATGAAACTAGGCAGAAGTGGCAGCGTTTGATCAGCAGAGTATATTATTTTTCTGACCAATGGAAATTTTTCCCTCCTTGCTGGGCAAGGCTTACTCCAATGTTTGCAGATCTTAGGTACAGGCAAATTATTAAATTTCGTTAGCATTGCTATCTAAAACACATAAAAAGAGAGAGGGCGCCACCTAGGTAAGCTATAGTCGAGGCTGTGAATCGTCTCCAGGTTCTGACCTTTTTTCCTGTTTGTCCGAGACAGAGAACACCGAGGTGGGCCCAGGGGGACCACAAAATGCCCCCCAAACGATTTGGGACATTTTGCCCGTTTCCATCCGAAACTAAGACGAAAATTGAAAAATTCCAAAAGACGGAGACGAATGGCCGGCGCCGGAATGCAGCGGACCGTGGTACTCACCCTGGCCTGTGTCATCCTCCTGCGGCTCCAGAGCGACGTCCTTCAACGGCGGCTCCACCAGCAGGACCCGCGGGCGCTGCCGAGCCCCCTGTATGCCCAGTTCACCACCCTGGAGGTCAACAACAACTGCGTGGTGAGCTACTGGGTCGCGGTCAGCTGTGCACAGGTGAGCGAGCGGAGCGCATATTACAGGAATGTGCAAACTGCTCGCTTGATATGTGCACCGCGCGACAAATGAAGCCTTCGCTCTGCAGTGTCCGCCGCAGGCAGCTTCCTCACCATCTTCGCGCTGCTGTGCGGTGACATCAACGTGCTGCCCGGCCCGACAAGGTCAGCCCCGACTCTCTGTGTGCTCTGCGACAAGGTAGGACGGAAAAATGCTGTAAAAATTCCTTGTTGTGATTGCGGCCGAATATTCCATAAAATCTGCCTCGTCAAGTAAGAGAAGCTTTTGGACAAAGAAATAAATGCGTTGCGTAAGAAAAACAACTACCGATGCTGGAGCTGCAACCTGCCAAACTTTAATGATTCTTTTTGGAGTTTACCGCCGCCGCCCCCTAGCCCCCCTTGAGCCCCGAACGCGCCGCGCCAAATAAATAAAGAGGCCGTGACCATCCTGTCCTTTAACGCCCGATCTCTCAAGGACCGAAAAAAGGCCGCCGACATTCTCGCCTTGATCTACACACACTACTCGGCCGATATTTGCGCGGTTAACGAAACGTGGCTCTCGCCCAACGTGCACAATCATGAAGTGCTGCCACGCGAGTACGTCGTCCTTCGGAAGGACCGGTTAGGAGGGCGGCGTGCTGCCGGCGGAGTGCTTCTCGCTATCCGACCGCATCTGCAGCCGAAAAGGCTCAATCACCTCGAGGGACGCGCGGAAACAGTCTGGGCACAAATTAAAGTCGGAAAATTGCAAATCCTGATCGGCTCGGCATAGCGGTGTCCGAATGCCGACGCTGCCTACAACTCGGCCCTGCTTGAATCGCTCAAACTCGCGGCGGCGGAGCAGCATAAATTTGACGGATGTTTCGTGACGGGGGATCTGAACCTAAATGTGTGCTGGAAAAGCGACCCACCAATTGCCCGCGCCGCCCCCGCCGCCGAGTTCATCGACCTTTTTGCTAACATGGCTCTTTCTGAATTAATACAACCCTGGCAGAAACGATTATTGGTGAAATAATTCTAAAATATTTATGCAATAATCCAGTTTTGAATTAATATTGGGATCAATATAAAATTCTGACAGGGAATCTCCTACTAGAACTGCTGCGACGGAAACAACTCTCGACCTTTTTCTCACCGACCACCGACGTTCCCGCCCTTGTTGCGGCCTCGGAGGTGGTCCCGGGGGTGAGCGACCACGACGCCCCTCTCGCCACCCTGACGACCACAATGCTGCGCCCGGTGTTGGCGCCGCGCGAGACGTTTGATTTAAAGAGAGCAAATTGGCCGGAGCTTAATACCGAATTAGCGAGACGCCTTGGAAAAATTTTCGAGCTGCAGGAAATATGCAGGAGATATGGGAAAATTTTAAAAAGATCGTGTTTGACAGCGCGGAGGAATTCTTACTCAAGAGGAAAATTGGAGGAAACAAACGACGCTTGGTCCCATGGCTCAACCAATACGTAAAATTGCTGATAAAAATTCGCGACCGACTTTTCCAAAAATGGCTGGTGGAAAAATCAAACGACTCTAGGCAAGTTTTTTTAGCCGCGAGGAAAACAACTCAGTCTGCCATTCGGTCCGCGCGTGAAAACTGGCTTTGGAAATTGGGAAAAGGCCCTAACGGGAGCTCTGAATTCTGGCGGTATATAAATGGAAAAACAAAGGTGCCAAATAACACCGCTAGTTTTGAAGTGCGAGGAATAAATGTGACGGAACCACGCGGAGCTGCTGAAAAACTGCCACCTCACTCGCGCCTAGTCTCACTTTTCTTTTCAATAAATCTCTCGAACAGGGCGAATTACCCGCGGATTGGAAAACGGCCGCCGTAACACCCATCTTCAAGGACGGAGACAGGCAGGACATGCAAAACTACCGCCCAATTAGTGTAACATCCCTGGTCGGAAAAGCACTCGAGAGAATTGTTCGGGACAAAATGTGCGAATTGTTTGAAACAGAAAGGCTGATTCCGGCCTCTCAGCACGGCTTTCGCTCCAAACGCAGCTGCGCCACACTTCTCACGGGAACCATTGACAACTGGACGGCGGCGCTCAACGAGAAAAGCGGCTCGCACTTGCACGCTATTTTCCTGGATTGGAGCAAAGCGTTCGACCGAGTACCGCACGCGCGCTTACTCTCGAAACTGGACCACAACGGGATAAAAGGGCGCCTCCTGTCGTGGCTCAAAAGTTTTCTAGTCGGTCGCTCCCAATTTGTTACGTTCAACGGAGGCAAATCCGAACCCTGTGAAGTTTCTTCTGGCGTTATCCAGGGTAGCGTTTTGGGGCTCCTCCTGTTCATCTTTGTGGCCGACCTCCCCGAGTGCGTGGCAAACAGCCAACTCGTCCAGTACGCCGACGATGCAACAATTTACAAAACAATTACATGCCAAGAAGACGCCGACCAACTGCAAGATGATTTGTGCAATGTGGAAATTTGGTGTGCAAACAACGGGATGAGTTTAAATGCAAAAAAGTGTAAAGTGATCGATATTTCTCACGCGCGCGTCCCCTTGTATTTTATGTACACCCTCGAGTACGTCCAACAGCAAAAATTTCTCGGCGTCAATATTTCCAGCGAACATCGGTGGCAGGTCCACACAGATATGGTCCGAGCAAAGGCGGCGCAAACCATCGGCTTCGTGGCCCGCAACCTGCGCGGCTGCACCCCCCGAGTAAAAAGAATTGGGTACCTCTCTCTCGTAAAACCAGGCATGATATACGGACTCCCTGCATGGCACCCAACGACGAAAGTCAATTTAAAAAAGCTCGATAAGAGTGCAGAAACGGGCGCTGCACTTTATTCACGGCCGCACCCTTCTGCCGGCAAACGAGCAGAGAGTTATGCCCCTTGACTAGATTAGACATGCACCTCAAGTACACTGACCTTCTATTTTTCAAAAAGTGCCTGAGCGGCGAGACTGATTTTGACGCGCGTGCCTGAATCATCGAGGGCCGTGTGCTGCGAGGCGACAATAGCCGGCATCCCCGCCTCCAGCCACCCCCGGTCCGAAGTGTTTGGCCAGCGCGCTTTTTCCTTCAGGGTCGTCAAGCCCTGGAATGACCTGCCACCGACCCTCAAAGACTGCCCAACCAGCAATTTTCCCTCCCTTTGCAAGCAGCATTTGTGGCAGCAATTTTAAAGTTTCGTGATTGTTCTTTGTTTTTCGATAGTGTGGGTTCACGCGCTGGCCGATCTCTTTTTGATGTCGGGGCAGACCTCTGCTAGTTGTGATACCCTTTCTGCTCATTTTTATCCAATTCAATTTTTTTCATGTATGACTTGAGTAGAATAAACAACAATAAAAAAAAAATCAGTTTGTTGTAATTTTCTAAGATGAGTCTTCCTTAATTAAATAAGTCACTGCTGTGTTAATAGTATGAAAATATATTTATGGCTCTCATGGAATAGTTTCTCGCTTCAGTAATTAGAAATATTTAAATTAATCATAATGATTTTAATTTTAATGATTGCATGATTCCGCTTTTTAGTGCAGTATACTTTTTGCAATGCAAAGTTGCCATGAATGGTGAATAAATAAAATAAATTAAATAATCCGCTTGTAGAATATTGTCTGCTAAAAAACCGAGTTTTTTAGTTTTGAGTTCTGATAAACATTTTTGACTATCTTTGGTATGGCAAGGGTGTCGACAGCGTCTGTTGTGAATGGAGTCCCGCAATAGGGCCGAAAAGAACAAAGCCGAAAACGGCTGAGCGGAACAAGGCCGAAAAGAAATAGGGCCGACAAGGAACAAGGCCGAAAGCTGAAAAATAACCGATAACCGTGAGCGCGTTCAGCTCAGTGAACATTCAATCCTTTGCGCGTCAATACCAAAATCCGTCATGCGGCCGTTTCGCATTGGAAAATAGATGAAAATTGATTTCACACAAGACTTCGCAAAAAAAATCTTCATTTTGGGCGAGACACAACCACAAAATCACAGAAATTTGAGGGACAACAAGATGAAGATAAATTGATCTCTTGTACAGCTTAAAAAAACCATCCTGCATTGGAACTCGGAAAACACGATCTTTCAAGAAATTATTTGTCCAGGAAACTTATCACTTATGTGTATAAACTTCTCAATTTATTTATTTATTTACCCTTTTCCTATCATCATTGTAAATTTTTGATGTAGACTGACCTACTGATTTGAATTTGGGTGGTATGAACGTGATTAATTGTTGAAATGTTTTATCAATTTTGGTCAAGCTAATTTTGAGAAAAATAAATAAATTCTAGGAAATTACATAACAATGCTAAATTTAAATATAAAAAATTTGGGTCTCCTAGAAAATTCATTTTGTCTTAACTATGTCTCCATGGAACTGACATAAAAATCCAATGCTAATTGATGTAGAGCAAAATTAATTGCGTCATTTTTTTTGCAAAAGCTCTCCTTAATATTGAGTTTCAAGTCTGCTGGTCAGTTTTTGGTTCATGTATTTCCAGCATATCGACCATAAATAAAACCAGGAAACTGAAAAGTTCCTCCCTACCAAATATTAAATAATTTAGATATTTGTTACTTTGATTTATAAGGACGATGATAAAAAAAATTGTGTCCTGAGACCCGAGGCGTCCCATTTCTTATTGGGATGGCGGGTAGACATAACACGGTAATCGCGGTGATTTCCCAAAAAAATCAGTTCGTCCTAGTTTGTTTGCACCGGTATTTCGGCCTTGTTCCTTTTCGGCCCAGTTCCGCTCAGCCATTTTCGGCCTTGTTCTTTTCGGCCCTATTCCGGCACTCCATGTGAATTGGCCGCTGCAGGACGAGGTCCATGTGAAGATTGCTGTGAGCAGTTTGCGCGGCTCAAGCAACCGTCTCAATGGAAAGGAAGGCAAGGCTGCATGATCTCAAGGATGGACATGGGCGAAAAGAAATTAATAATTTTTGTCATACTTCAAACATGAACACACGCTAGTTACACTCTTATAATCTGAATCATTTTCCAGTTTAAGCAAAATCCCGTAAAGAATCAAATGCGAAATATCAGCCTTCACAAGCTCTTGCTCACATTTGCGTGCAAGAGCCGCTAGTGAGCGAACCACATTTTAATTACTTGTAAAATGGTAGCCCACCCTTAGATGCATTAAATATTGTACCTGCTCCAACTGTAAAAACTCGGTCAAAATCAGCAGCAATAGCCATCTGCTTGTATAGCTGAGGACTCTGGGCTAAGTAAGCTTGGCCCTTAAAGTAGGACACGGTGAAAACATTTGCGCCGCCCTCTGATGCTGCAGAGATGATTTTTGGTGTGTGTATTTCAGTGAATCCTTGGACTGTTAATAAGTCTCTGAAGAGGCGGCAGACACCTGCCTCCAACCTGAATATAGCCTGGTTTGCTGGAGTTCGCAAATCCAGGATGCGGTGGTCTAGTCTGGTATCTTGGTTAACTCGAATTGTGAGGCCTTCAGCATCCTGAGTTAAAGGATGATCGATAGTGATTATAGAGTTAAAAAAAGTTTAAAATTAATTATCTGAATTAACTAGTATTTCGTTAGATATTCCCTATGATACGAGAGGGCAAGGTTTTTTATAGTAAGTTTTAAAAACCTTAAATTTTCAATGCAATGGCTACTAAACCATTTTAAATAATTACAAAAATACTTTACCGGTAAATCATCTCGACGGGCAGCATCCTCAACTTGCAAAGGCAATTTAGTTTTAGCGGCCGAGACTAGGAATACTTGGCGCACATGCAATTCAGTGTCTTGCTGAGTGCAAGCTTCAATACGGCGCTCAACAGCATGAACAATGCCTTCAATGTCTACAATACTCTCTTTGCTGATGCTGAAAAATTACAGAATTGTAACAATCAAGTTTCAAAATGAGGAATATAAATTCAATTGTTTAAAAAAAATGATTGTATTAAATTCTCGTAATACATAATACATTTATTCAAAAACAATAAGGCTCAACTAGTTTTGGTCACAGTCTGTGACCCTATTTCATGAGCAAGAAAGAAAACAAAAAATCAGCATCATTAAAAACAACCACTTAACATACAAATTAAATTACTTTTTAATGATTTATGCTTCCAAAATGTAACACTATGTTTTATTGAAACTCTCAATTGAAGCCATGATGCAAAAATGTGCTTATTATAAAACGAACTCCCCCCTCTCACTCTTTCGTTCCTCGGAAGTAAAAAAAAAAAATTAAAGAGTAAAATTTCATATACTTAGAGAGGAATTTGACCATCTGCTTGCTGGTATTCTCATCAACTTGGGCAAGAACTTGCACAGTGCTCTCCTGCTGCCTCAATACAGCAAAGCATTGCTTGCCCTTGGCTCGGCTTGTGTGCAAGCGCGCTCGAACCCAAACAATGCTACCTGCAAGGGTTGATTGAAGGTCTCTGACATGCACGTACTCCTGAGTAGGCCTTTCTGTGCTTTGGATTAGTCCAACCAACCCATATTGTCCAATGGAGCAATCGTCTTCCTAAAAATGAAATTTTTTGTTAAATTGAATCAAATGTGTGAAAAAAGACAACAATATAACAATAATCAAGCTATTTTTACCTGCGTTTGCATTCCATCATTTTGGTTTACAGCGCCACGGTGCTCTTCACGTTTTACTGCCTTTTCCTTCTCTTTTGCCTCTTTTTTCAGTTGCTTCTTTGACTTCCCTCCTCTGAAATTGAATGTAATTGAAAATAAAAATGGAGAACTGCACAGCAGCATAACACTATTGTGTGAGTAGGTGACAAGTGTTCAAAATATTGAATTAAATTTTATGTTAATGCGCGCAATTGCAGAACCTTAGTCAATCAATAGATTTTCAATTCCATTTAATATCAAATATTTACAACGATCTTAGAGTACGTCTTAATTACATTAAATTTAACATTCTGCATCCATTATACAGTTTTGATAGGGTGACAATACAGCAGATATATTATACGAATAGATCTCACAGAAAGATATTTTCGGTACGTACACTAATAAAAATATTAGTTTATTGTTAATTATTAGCTACAGTCTTTCCGGAAATTGTTAAAGATTTATGAAATCATGATTTCAGGGCTCTGTGTGTTGTTAGATGCAGCCTTAGAGTGCCAGTGCCCTACAGGTTTAATAAGCATGTCATCGATATCCAGAGTTATTATTATTGTTGTTTATTTGTCCACATTGTTTTAATTCGATTGTTAAAAAAAATGATTTATTAAACAATAGGGACACCGATTGTAGGACAAAACAGCACCGCACCACTAGAAAAAATTTTGCTAAAACTTCCGAGACTAAAAAGACCTCCGCCGCGCAGTCGGCGCAGTGAGCCTGAAAACAAAATTATTTCTACATACGCGTATGCATTATGATTTTCATATGACGTGTCACAATAATGTTTGAAAGTAAGAAAAAATCCGACCGCACTGCAGTCGTTGGTCCAACACGTTATGCGTTGTATGTATCTGTCCTATGTACATATGCATTCCTAATTATTATGCAAGAACTTTGTCAACAATATGGAGAAATATAAGCAACAATAATAACGCGATGAGGTTGCGAACTCTCTGGGTTTTAATGCTTAAAAAATTTTGCTAGTCTACGAAAGAAGAATCAATCTTACTTCGCTTGAGAATTGTCAGCCATGATAGAAGCCCGTTTCTCCGTTCTTGGTCAAATGGAGCTGATGAACGGCCAAACCGGCCGACCGCCAATATGAATGTCGTCTGATTGTCAGTGGTCCGCTGTCCTGAAATTTAAAGCTACAATATTTTTGATATTTTTCTTTTGCTAAGCCCCGGTCAACAAACCTCCGAGTGCTAAATGCACGTGCACACTCCTGCAAAGGTCTTCGCCAAACACCAGCCACCGCCCACCGGCTCCGGCTGTATTCATTATTCAAATAATCTCGCAACCAACAATAGACAGGGTGTGTTTCTTTTTGTTTTGGCCAACTTCGCCAAGAATCCCCATTTTTGGGGTGGGGGAACTTGGCCAGCGCATTAAAAAACAGCCGCCAGAACAAGCGCCAGAAGGTATTGCGAGCGCCACCAAAATTCCAGTGGCCATTGAAGAAAGTACTTCTGCAGCCTACTTGACAAGCAGCAGATAAATTTAGTTTTAATTTTTTTTATGTTCATTGAGAAAGATTAATTTTGTTTACTCTGATGGGTTATAAAAAAAGCTAGTTTCATATTTTATTTCTCTAATTATTTCTCATCATTTAACTCTCACTCGACTAACAAAAAAAATTGGAAAATGTGGGTTAGAGTTTATAGCAACCTGTCAAAATTGATGCAAGTTTTAATTAATTTAATTATTAAACATCTTAAAGGTAAAAGGCTAAGAAAATTGTTAATCATTAAAAGATCTCAAAGACACTAATTCAATTCAATTCAATTCAATTCATAGAAAATATCAGGCACACAAAAAATGGATCAAAATTACACATAAATTATTTTGCTGAGAAATGTTTAATACAACTTATAACATACACAATACAAACAATTAAAGTGCTGATTGCGAAAGGCGCGGATAAGTCATCGGTAATTCATTGAATATATAGTAAAAAAAGGTAAAAAATTACGAGGTTAGGGTAGGTTAGTACTGACCAAATTTGGAGCAAATAGCGCAAAAGTTGTCTCGGAAATAATATCAACGCTACAAAATTAATAGGAAAATTTTGTTTAACTGAAGATTACACTAATCAAAAGCTTGGAATCGTACAATTAAGTCGCTAATTATGTTTTTGGGAAGCAACAAGTAAAAAATAACAAGTAACACACATGAGTGGGCGGAACACATTTCCTTATTTTTCCATTTTCGTTTGTCACTTGTTATTAATTCTTGGCGGAGTTGGCTGCTTTGCAGTTTGCACGGCAAGATCGCCAAGAAGAGTCCTCACACTAGCAACAGCGCCACTGAGCGCGAACTAACGTCAGGGGAGGGGACTTTTGGTGCATCTTGCTATCAACAAGCTTGCCATCTTGGCGTTTAAAGAAACAGCCGCCAGGAGTCCCGCCAACTTGGCCAAGTTTTTCTCCATTAAAGAAACACAGCCAAAGGACTCTGAAGAGTGTATGCAGATGCATACACACCAAACTAGAAACGTTGTCCCTCCAGAGATTGAAATTTATGGTACGGGTATTGAAGCAGTAAATAATTGTAAACTACTAGGAGTGACAATAAATGATACAATGAACTGGCACCTACAATGTGAAAAAGTGGCAAATAAATTGAGAAGTGTGACGTATCTTTTTACTATATTGCGCGATACAGTGTCAGAAAGTTCACTTAAAACTGTATATTATGCGTATGCCCAAAGTCAAATACTGTATTCTATTGTGATTTGGGGAGCATCACCACACATGCAAAAAGTGTTCGTCGCTCAGAAGCGTGTTGTCAGAGCAATGACTGGGCTGAAGTATTGGAGAGCAAATTGTGCGCTTGATACATGTAGGCCACTTTTTGCTAAATATGGTATATTGACTGTTTACTCTCTCTATATATTAGAATGTATGAAATTCCTTATAAATCATCCTGAAAAATTTAGAAAAAAATCAGAAATTCCAAATTGTATGAGTCCGAAAACAAAAAGTGCAAAAAGCAAGCACTGTGTAAAAGACCTATATGTCGAGATTGAAAATCACTTGGATATATTAAACCAAAATCCAGTAGTTATGATAGCAAGAATATTTAACTCTCTACCTGTTAGTGTAAAAATGACTGTGGAAAGTAACGAGTTTATTAGCAAAATAAGAGAAATTGTATATAAGTATCAGTATTATGACATGAACGAATTTTTCAGTTGTAAATTTGATTTGTAAATTGTATAAATATGTGAATGACGTATTTTAAAAGTTGTCAATTCGTTGATGACTTAATGAAATAAAAATAATTCTGAATCTGAATCTGAATCTGGAGTAGAGAGAGCGGGGAGACGCGGACGACTCCGCCCCCTTTCTAGGTACACGACTTTAACCAATCAGCGACGACAAGCCAAATGACTAACGCCGCCGCTGATTGGTGAATGTCATGTGCTGGAGAAAGGGGGCGCGGTTGTTCACGTGTCTCCCATTTTTACTCTCTAGTGATTTAGTCTCTATAATTCTGGTGTTCTGGTCGCGTTCCACCGAACGCTACTGGGACCTCATTATAGCGATCATCATTGCATGACCTTGTAATGTTATTCTTATGATCAAGGTCAAAATCAAATGGTGCTATGGTGCTATAATGAGGTCCCTCGGATGGGATGTGGCAACAAGTTACCGCAGACACAACTAACCTGACAAAGCGACACAAGCTACAAGCCGGTGCTATACAGATCACGTGATGCACGTCACGTGACACATTTTTCTCAGCATATATTGGGACACAAGTTACACGCGGAAATTTTAAATCCGTATAAGTCATTCCTAAGCAATACTGAGAGTAAAAGCAAAAAAAATAGACGTAATTCATGTTTTAGTAGCTCAATTAAAGCCTCAAACTTGTGAAATTGCAGGCGATTTTTTATGGCATTTTTATAAAATAATTAATTTTCTAAATCAAACTAAAACTTTGCCAACATGAAGCTCAACGCATTAATTTAAAATAATCACATAAATTACCGTGTTAATGCCAACAATTTATCAGCTAGAACCGTAGACAGAATTTACGCTTTTCACTTATTGTTAGCTATTAAAAATTACCAATTTTGCCACCAGTTAGTTTAATTTCTTTGTCTCTTGCTCAATTTTTACGCTTTCTTAGCGTTAGCAAGAGATTTTATTATTGTTAATGTTTAAATTAATTAATTAAATTAAACATTGCTAATTGCCTGAATAATGGATTTATTGAACCAGAGCCTGATGTAAATAATGTGAATATTCATGATTGCTCAAAACTCATAGGTGATACATGTGTTACACAAGAGTTACAATTGATGGGAGAATTTGAAATTTATAGTATTATTAATAACCTCTCATCCAAAACTTCCTCAGGGTGGGATGGAATATCAACTACCGTCTTAAAGAAAATTTCTAAATACATAACAGCCCCGCTTACTCATCTTATTAATGTATCATTTACGGAAGGAAAATTCCCCGAAAAAATGAAACTAGCAAAAATTATACCATTGTTTAAAAAAGGAGATAAAGAAGACCCTTCAAATTATAGACCAATTGCGATTACATCATCAATATCAAAGGTGTATGAGAAAGCTTTTTTAAATAGACTGGAAAATCACTTATATAGTAATAATATCCAAATACCTGAACAACATGGATTTAGGAAGGGAAAAAATACTGTAACCGCTCTATATAGTTATGTAACATCTTTGTATGAATCAGTAGAAGCAAAAGAAAAAGTGAATGTTATCTTGTATGATTTCTCAAATGCATTTGGCACTCTTCATCCACCTCTCCTTGTATATAAATTAAAACAGTACGGTCTAAATGAGAACTTGCTCTCGTGGTTGGCCTACTTCTTATCAAATAGGAAACAATTTGTACAACTTAAGAACCTTGGTTGTGATGGATACGAGGAGTTTATTAACTCGGATATACTAGAAAGTAACAGGGGTGTGCCGCAAGGCACAATTCTCGGCCCAATTGGGTTTTCCATGTATTTAAATGATATTCCCCTTGCTGTATTCTTGGCCCTCCTGATTCTGTTCGCCGACGACTCAACGGCTATAGTCAAGGGAAAGTCTTTCCCTGAGGTCAATACTAAAACGGTGGCTGTCAATGAAAGTTTTGTCAGCTTTGCTAATGATAATTTTTTGAGGATTAATTCACAAAAATCAAAGATATTACAAATACACACTAGCCAAACAAAAAAACTAGTTCAACCTGATGTTAAGATTGAAGATAAAAATATTGAAATCTGTAAATCTGGTAAACTTCTGGGAGTACAAATAAATGATACACTAAACTGGAACGACCACTGTGATAAGGTTGTTAGCAAAATGAGAGGAGTCTCCCATGTGTTCACAAGACTGAAATACAAGGTGTCAGATAATATTCTTAAATTGATCTACTTTGCTCATGTCCAAAGTCATATAATGTATGGAATTGTAATTTGGGGGGGCTCCAGCCATTTAATAAAGGTATTTAGAGCACAGAAAAGAGCGCTGAGAGCTATGGCGGGCATTCCTTACTGGAGATCTAATGAAGCGTTGGATACTTGTAAACCATTATTTGTTAAATATAATATCATGACCGTGCCATCGTTGTATATACTTGAATGTATAAAATTCTTAGTGCAAAACAGAATTCTATTTCGGAAATATAGTGATACTGTAGATACGAGGAGAGTGACTAGACATAATCAGACTAACCTTTGCTGTAACGATTTGGTTGTGAAAGAAGTTAAGCTCAAGAAAACTGTAGAAAACCCAGAAATCATGATCCCCAGAATTTTTAATGCATTACCTAAATGTTTAAAAGTCCTTGAAAATGACGAGGCTCTTGTAAAAATGGTGAAAGCTTTTGTATTGGAACATCAATTCTATGAATTGAACGAATTTTATCGTTTAAATAATAATGTATATTGACTTATTTTAAAAAGCTGTTATTACTATGTATATTATGTGGTATATAATGCTTAACAAAATAAACAAATCTTGAATCTTTAATTGTTACAGCATCACATTGTTTACATTCAATTGTTAAAAACATTTTATCACAACAGAAAACACTCTCGACTTGTTCCTGACCGATGTGCCGCCCTTGTTGCGGCCACGGAGGTGGTATACCGGGGGTGAGCGATCATGACGCCCTTTTCGCCACCCTTACGGCCACCGCGCTGCGCCCCATGTCGGCGCCGCGCGAAGTTATGGACTTTCGTCGAGTGTTTTGGCCCAATTTAAATGCCGCACTCGCTCAGAGGCTAATTGGAGTTTTCGCGATTAACGAGGTTAAC